ATATATATATATATATATATATACAGTATATATATATACACATATATATATATATATATATATATATATAATTAAAACATAAATAAATAATTATTTAATAAATAAAATGTCATCAATAAACTATTAACTTCAAGCTTCACTCTTAACCAAAATTATACATGTACATCAAAACATTATGATACCATTATTTAGATCTAAATGAAAAAGTTTGTAAATGTCTGACTAGTTGCAGTGTATAAAGACATATGCTTGTAGGTAAACACGTGTGAAAAACGGAATAAATTACAAATGTTACAGGCCTTACAAAATTGGTCAATGTCCACGTCACATCAAACAGGATGAAATGAAGACGAAAAATGGTCAAATTTGAAAACCTGAAAGGCAATGACAATAGAGTAACAAAACTGCTCTTTGGTTTTAAACAAACAACACACACACACACACAAAAGTATGTTACGCATGGCAAAATCTTGCATATCCTGCACAGAGCATCTATCACACAGCCTGACACATGCTCACTTTATATAATGGTGTTTCTCTTCAGTTCGGCAGTCAAATAAAACATTACAAACGTGAAAAATGACATCTATATCATCTGCGCCACAAAAAAAAACAAACAAAACCCTAGCCATGCATAGACAGCAAATGAGCATGACTGTAAGAGAAAATTGAACATGTATGAAATAACATTTTTTGGGGGGCCTCCAGAATAAAATGGCCATATTCAACATGATGAACATTGAAAATAATTGCATATACGATTATTGCATAGAGAAGCCAGATGAAGATGCATCCTAAATTTCATAAACTAAACCTTTGTGCACTTGTTTATTCTGTTGCACAATGCAGTGTTCATACATATGGACTGAAAAATCACTGTAATATACATTTGGATGGAAATATAGATCTATTATCATGGCACTGGCTGTACTGCTAAACCACACTTAGAAAAATAACACTGTATGAAATATGAGTTATGAAAGATCCCTTTGCTTTTCTTTCTGTCCATGATGAAAATGCCAAAACCAAAGATATGCAGAGAGTTAAAAGTATATTTTATTTGACATATATTTATATTTATTTTTCACACCCCCATGTATTTTAGCTTTAGTTTATTTAGGTTATATATCAAAAGGTGAATGCATGAATAAATAAATGGAATTGTGGAGTAATTTTTTTGGTCAACCTAAAGGATGACGTTTGGCACATGAGCAGAACATAATCTGATGTTTTAAACAAAAAGAAACCTGAAAATGAGCACAGATAGAGGAACACATTGACCACAGCTCGAATAAATATATTTGTTTCACTGGCACTCATCAAGATCCATAAATAATCGATATCAGAATGAAACATCATGAGACCACAGGACACATGTACCAAAGCGCATCTCGGTCTCTGGGACCTGCAACATTTTCATTGTGTATTCATGGAAGCCCCAAACTGCCTTGAGACGCCCAAAAATGTTTCATTTTCAATGGCTGAAGTATTATCATTTAAATATATGATATATTACAGCAGTAACGTTTTTCCGTATTCTCGCAATGCAGTACGTCTTCAAGTTGCAAAAAAAGTTTTACACGTTTTCCTCTTGGATTCCCAGTCATCAGTTCAGAAGTTCTTAAGTTGAATATTTACTTTTAGTCATTTTCATTTTTTTTTAGTAAATATATTGCCACATTCATATATCATGCATTTTACTGCATTGCTATTGCACAGGTCCGGATTATTCAGGAGGACAGGAAAGACGAAAAAAAGGAATAAATACCTCTGCTGGGGACTCGAGTGAGAGGGCTGCAGTGAGAGAAAGGCGGGCACGGTGGGACGTGGGGAGGGGCGTGGAGGAGGGTGTATTCGCATCTCTTTACTGCTTGTGAACATCCTCGCTGCGTATGATCTTATAAATGATCCAGTAAAAAATGTTAAAAATGAGGAAGACCAGTGGAAAGGCTACGCGTGACACCGTGTCGATCCGTTTGGCACGGCTGATGAAGAGCTTGCGCATTTCCTCCACACTCTTCTCAGGGGGCTTGGCGGAGGTGGGCGCATTGTTGTTGTTGCCCTTGATGGCTATGCCGTCTTTGGCCTGGAGGCAAGCCGAACCCATGCCATAGGCGGCGAAGCTGAATCGGCCGTCTCCCGCCTCGTCCTCCTGTCAATCGGTCAAGAAACCCATTATTCACACACTCCACCTTAATGCACCGTTATTAAAGCAGCTGCAGTTTCTTTACCTTAAAATATCAGTTTCAAATAATTAAAAATCATTCTGATGATACACTGATGTTTTAATATGGCAAATGTACGGTGACCAAGAAGTGCAAAACAAATCACAATTCTGAAAACAAAATAACAAATTACAAACGCAAATGCAAGTCTAAAAAACAAAATAACAATTCAGAAAACACAACAACAATTCAGAAAACATTATAACAAGTCAGAAAACACAATGACAAATTCGAAAACAAAATAACAAGTCAGAAAATACAACGACAAATCCGAAAACAAATTAACAAGTCAGAAAACACAACGACAATGATGGATAAGCGCATGTCGTTGGCTTCTTGACGCGATTGACCCGGGTTCGATCCCATCTTTTTCCGAACTTTTTTTTCATCCCTTTTCAAATCTCGTATTAGCAATGGATTCTATTTACACTAAGTGAAAATAGCAGTATTTTTAGCAATATGCTATTTACACTAAGTGCAAATACCTATTTACACTATGTTAAAATAGCAGGATTTCTACTATCAAGTATACTACTTGTTGCAAATAGTGGCAATTATCTGCACTTCAGTATTGTAGTACATTATAAAACAGTATGCAATAATAATGTATTCCATCTGCACCACTGGAGCTGATGATTTACAGCCACTTTTAACTAAATGTAAATAGACACCCAGTATTTTTTATTCCATAGTAAGGGCAATTCATACAATACATTTAAACTGAGCTACTGTAATACCATCTCCGAACTTTTTACCACGACTCTGCTGTTCTTCGGCTATTTCTTCCCTGTATATGTTGATTGACAGATGTCTCGTCCAGTCAGCGGTGAGTAATCCCAAACCAATGGCGCTGAATTGTTGTTGTGCTTTCTGAATTGTTATTTAGTTTTTTAGACTTGCATTTGCGTTTGTAATTTGTTATTTTGTTTTCAGAATTGTGATTTTTGTTTTGCACTTCTCGGCCACCGTACAAATGGCTTCTGCTTTTTTCCCAGTTGATAAAGTAAATAAAGTTGTGGACAGGCACAAGTCAGACAAAAAAAAAAATCAAAGGCTTTATCAATACCTATAAGCATAGTGAAGTCTATTATTAAGAAGTGGAAGGTATTTGGTAAAACACAGACCCTCTCTGGACCAGGACGTCACTCCAAACTGGATGAAAGAGTCAGGAGGAAACTGGTCAGAGGGGTGACCAAGAGGCCGACAGCAACTCTGAAGCAGTTGCAGGAATTCATGACACAGAGTGGTCATTGTGTGCGTGTGACAACAATATCACAAATTCTCCACAAATGTGGCTTGTATGGAGGGTTGCAAGAAAAAAGCCACTCCTCAAGAAAGGCCACATGCAGTCAGACTGAGCTTTGCCAAAACGCACCTTGAAGATTCTGAGGCAGATGAGACTAAAATTGAATTATTTGACCTCAACACCAAACAATATGTCTGGCAGAAATCCAATCCAGCTCACCATCCAAATAACATGGAGGTGGTAATATCCTGTTATGAGGTGTTTCTCTGGAGCACTTGTCAGGATAGAAGGAAAAATGTCTCTAAGGGTGCTTTCACACCTGTAGATCGATTGCTTTGTTCCGGTACAGGGATTAAAATTATTACAATGTTGCTTTTTATTTTTGGTGCGGTTCGCTTTCACACGGCAAAGTTTCTAAACGGACCAAAAATTTTGGGTTACCGTCCATGGATTTTTCTAAAAAAAAAATATAAAATCTTGATTTATGTTCAACTGAAGAAAGAAACTCATATATATCTGGGATGGCATGAGGGTGAGAGAATTTCAATTTTGGGGTGGAGTATCCCTTTAAATCCTCCAGTCTTGTTGGATGGATTACATGTTTGTGTGGGTATTAACTATTGAAATATGTCTGCTAGACAGCACAGGGTGTAGTCAGAGGTCACAATATCTCACGCAAGTTAATGGACTGACCTTGCCCTGCTCCCCACCTCCACACGCTCTTATTTGAGATTCAGCAGATGGACTCGATCGTACACTTTAATGAAAACAGAACCAAAATAACCACCCCAGTTAATTACATTTCAGTGCGGGTAGATATTTCACCGTGATTGTGCCAGTTTAAACACAAAACGCGGATGCGAAATAGGATCATTATGTTCGTAATGCATATTTCCAATTTGCAGGTGCAAACATCTAGCGCGGGGAACTATCCCGTTCGCTTTTACTGAAAGATCAGCCATTTTCTATGCAGGACTCCATTTTTAGACAATTTGTCCTCCTTCTGTCCTTGTCTTTCAGCCTTCCCATTTATAACTGTTAATGTGTGTCGGGGTAAATGGAAGATCACACGAGGATGTGTGTGTGTGTGAGGGGTGATGTTATTCCACTGCCCCTTTGTTTTTGTATACGACACTATCTTTGATGCCGGGGAGCTACGACCTTTCCATGTCCTTCAGTTGCACTGGCTCACCATTTGTAAGTATTACGGATGCTCGGCTTTATTTCTGCTGCCATTTGATTAATGTGGTGGCTACGAGACGTGACGTGGAGTTGTAAAGAGGAGCCAGGCTGCAGCACCGCTGCGTCCTGCGTCACTTTCCCTCCCGGCCTGGCCCCTGCCAGATTCATTACCCTCCCTTCCTAATTAAAAATCCGCCGTTACTGCATTAGGCGTGCCAGCCGCGTTCCCAGTTCGACTGTTAGAGGGGAGGAAAAAAAAACAATAAGCAGAACGTTCGCCTGCATCCTCGAGGTTTACAGCGGAGTGTAATATTATGGCTGCGCATCAGAATGCAGCTCACAGCCTCGTTTGCAAATCAGGGGTGTGGCTTCCACCGCTATATACAGGACCTCTCGGCTCCTTCATCAATCAAAGCCCGTAGATGTGACTGATGTTTTGATGCCTTTTATTGGGATGTTGTGATAAACGATAGAAAGCGAAATAGCTGTAAGGTAGCAGCCTCAAGCCTTTATCGTATATATATTCAAAATATTTAGCATCAGATGTACGGGACAGTGATGATTTTATACAAAGCATATATTAAAGTGAAAGTCACCTCTATCGTACATGTTGAGACCAGGATGATGTACTGCATTTATCTGTGTAGGACATTACAATGCATTGCAATGACATATGTCTGTTGTTTTATCACCTATGGGTGAGTTGGAATGAATATTTTACGAGCTGTGTATGAAACTGCATTATGCTGATGTGCCCAATGGTTATGAGTCTTAAATGAATATATGTTTACAAAAATTAGATTTTTCGCCAATAAACATCTGTGCCCTCATAAATGCAGGGAATTTAAATGAGAAGCAGACAAATAGCATTTGCTCGGTGTATATCATGCAAGCATATTATGCCTTTCAGGTTTCTTTAATGGCTAGAATCATTTTCAGCCCTGTTTCGGAACAGTCACTGACATCAGCTGCATCGGGTCCAACCACATCTAAAAATCTCTATTCCTGTCGCCCTGTGCAGTGACCTCCAGAGTATAATGAGAACTGCTGGCTCGAGAGCGACATTTCAGACCAAGCATTGATTCTAAATATGCTTACTAAACGAACACTTCCCTTTTTTCAATAATAGCGCTACGTATTTAGCCTTGTGCATTTTCTTATAACAAAGAATTTGCAAAAAAAAAAAAAAGTTGCCCATGCAAAAGTTACTACCCTAATAGAGGTCGCTACAGGAATGTGTCCTAAAATCCAAAATCAATGGGTTTTTTGAATGGGTTTTTTGGTTAAATGCCTGAAATAAGGTCTGTGGTTAACACAAGCTCAAGATATTCCATGTTTTCTTCTACCACATAAAATACATCAATAATATTCCATAAGATTTTTAAAGTTTTTACGTGTCTTGAATAAGGTGATTGCCAACGATTGGCTAAATGGGACTGCAGAGGTTGTCAGGGACTTTAAACATCATTACGCTGAACAGGTAAACTCATCTACACACTAGTCTTTACAGCCTCATTAATAATCACACTCTTGCTAATTATTCTAGCTCAAACTTTCAAATTTGTAGATTATAAATAAAGACTGAAAGAGTTGCGGGAAGCTTAGTAATGGTGACGTTGAAGCCATGTGATCGTGGTGTAGTTTGTTTATAGCCTAACTTTAGGTTAAGGCTTGAAAACTCATAAAAGTTGTGTTCAATTGTGAAGAATATCTAATTATGAACAAAACGTATAAGAATCCTGAATTTTATGCTGGTCACAGAGCTTATTTTCAGCAATAACCCAAAAGCCAATGCAAAAATTCCATTGTGTATTTTTTTTTTCGAGGGAACATGTTAATGCTAATTTCCAGGTTGGCCTACAAAAATGCACCATCGCTGCAGCAGTCTATGCAAAGTGTTCTAAATGGTAGCCAAGGTGTTGCTATGTAGTTGTTCTAAGTGGTTTTTAACATGTTGCTATAGGGTTTTTAGGCTCTTCTGGGTGGTTGCTTACTGACAAGCCAAAAGAGCTCGTCCAAAAGTGCTATTTTTGTCTTTATAAATGATTCAGGTCTCTCCTTCAATGTAACTATGGGATTTTTTGTCAACCCATTTTAGAAAAGTAATCCTCTCCTGAACAGCCCACATGATTTGAGATGTCATCCATGTCTGCAGCACAAGCAGGGCAGGACATACTACATGCTGAATTTTAATACCGTTAGAGGTTTGCTAGGCCAAGCATCAGTATTAATATAAATAAACATTAAATATTCATTAATTATATTTTTATTGTACTTGTAGACTGTAGAGAGACAGAACAAAAACACAGCTATTGTTTTTTTTTTAGCAAACAGTGCTGGGAAGTAACTGATTACATGTAATTTGGATTACATAATCAGATTCCAAAAATGTAGTACTTGTAATTAGGTTATGTTACATTTTAATTAATTAGTTACTTTTTTATGGATTACATCATTACAAATGATTCACAAAATGGCAGTAAATCATTCATAATTCTC